CCAAATATACTGATATGGAAATGTTCTGTATAAGCATTAAATAGTTTAATAAATTTGTAAGGAAATCTGCATTGCTAAAATCAAATCATTTTCAGTTCACACAGCTGTTAAGTGGAAAACATGAATTAAATAAAATGAAAGCAGTATGCAACTCAGCAAATTTCAGTTTAGAGGCTATGTTCTTGGTTTTTGTATAAGCAAAATATCTTGAATTAGACATGCAATGTAATCAACAGGTCCCTTATTGTGTCATGGTTTTCCATGAGGTGTTTTCACAGCTGCTTTCTCAAGATCTGTGTATCCTATGTCACGTAAATTATTGTCACTGCTGTTTTAAACCTAGTGGCCATTTCCAGGAAGGCACTTGCTTTGAAGAATGTTCTGTCTTGTGAAAACTTGATACAGAATTATCCTTAATAATTTCACTTTTTGCTAAGATGTGAGGATTGTTTGATGTCCTGCTAAACTGTGACTTTGTTAATAAGAAAAAATCATGAAAATTCTAGCCCAGTGTGCCATATTCTAAAACAAAGTTTGCTTCAGTCACTTATTAGAAGCATACTATTAGGAAACTGATTCACTGATTGGTTTATTGTCTTTAGAGAGATATCTCAAATCTTAATCTCAATGGCTTTATTGATCTTATATGTCTATACATATCTTCCTGTTTCTCAGCTTTCTGTAGTATTGCACTGAACATTTTTGCCTAACTTTCTACCAATACCATCCTCTTTTGACTACTACTCCGTTTTCTATCAATTATGATTATGTTTATAATAAATGAAACAAAAGCGTAAAAACATATGAAGTTGTATGCAAAAGAACACAAAAGTACAAAATGAAGTATGGGATTTTTAGAGGAGAATCTAAAGTCTAATTTCTTAGAAAAAATTTCACAGCCCAACAGAATATCAGGAATCTGGTATGTGAAAGGTGTGCGCAGGAAGTAAATGGGAGTTAGTAAAGGAATGAAGAAAGATAAGGAGGGGAGAACACAGTCATAGTAATCAACGCATACCCCCTATGAAACTAACAAAATTGAGGGGAGGAGGATGGGTTAGGAAGGATGGGAGAGAATTATGACAGGGGTGACATTGATCAAGGTGCATTTTACTTATAAAATGATCTGTTGCATGGTAATGCCTTTGTACAACTGCTTAAAAATAAAAAAACCCTATAATTTAAGTAAAGGAAACAGAATGAAGTAGCAAGTATTGTGTGCTTGTGTGTGTGTGTGTGTATGTGTGTATGTATTAGGAGGAAAACAAAGTCATAAATGAAATAGAGATGACAAATTTTTAGACTCTTTTCTTGATTACTAAAAATGTTTATATTTTCCCATACATTTCAAGTACATATATATTTGTTATTAAATGCATATACTTGCATTGAAGTACTAATTATACGTATTGTATCTAAAATATCTCATGTTACCACGAATCTTATTAAATATTGTTATTGAGGAAAATGGCTGTGCCATATATACTGACTTCATAACCAGTTAAATCACTTAAATTTCTGAATTTAAATATGCACTTATTTCTATTGGATTTTCCATGTTTTCATGAATAATACATATCCTTTAGTTTCTCTCTTTTCAAAAGTTGTAGTTCTTTTTTTTCTTATTTCCTTCTGTAGTTTGTTCTGAAACAATGGTAAGTTATAGAAACAATGGTGGTTATGCTATTTATTTTCAAGTTATGATAAGGATGCCTTATATTTTAATGCTATCTGAATAATTGGTTTTTTGCTTTTTGATTAGTATTCGTTCCTAACTAATAACTAGGCTTTTCTGATTTTATTGAGGTTTATGAGGAATGGAAGATGCACTTTATTTTAAACCATTTATTAAGATCTCTCTATGAACTTAACAGCATAGCAAATTATATATCTTAATAATATATCACTGCTTTGATTGAAAAGGTCAACTTGATTATTCAATTATTCTTTTATTATACTCTTAAATTAAGAGTTTCATTTTAGGGATTCCTGCTCATTTGAAATAAGTAATCCATTATTTACCCATTAATTTGGAATTTCCTTTGTCATAATTCAGTATCTGAGTTACACACAAAAGTTTCAGAGAGCTAGTTGAAAGTTTTCTATATTTATCATTCTCTGTAAAAGTTCATTTGACATCATAGATAGCAGCCCATGGAAAATTTAAACCAAATCAACCATAAAACCTTGAGCACAAAGAATGGTTGAGCTAATTATTTTATAATAATATTCATTTTCTTTTTGTACATTTTTATTGTAAAAATGCTGTACAGAGGGGTTACAGTTACATAAGCAAGGTACTGAGTACATTTACTATTGAGAAAGCTGTAGTGTCATTCAAATTTCTACCATGTTTTGATTATTATCTGTGACACTTTGGTGGTTATAACCAAATGTTTTCTTTTAAGGAGAGTGTCATTTGTTGGCTAAGTCTGAAAATGGAAAATATTCAGAAAAGTTACTTTTCAGGTTTTGTTTTGTTTTAGATTGGACTCCTTTCCTTCTTTCCTTCCTTCCTTCCTTCCTTTGTTTTGCCTTTCTTTTTTATTTTAGACAGTTGTTCTATTTGTTTTGAGTTCCTTTATTACTGTCCAGATGATAGCAAGATTTCTACATTATTCTTGTTTTCATTAATTTTTTTAATGTTTTCAGTGTGTGTGCCATATTGTCCCTTAATGTTTACCTTGCCATGCAATTTGGTTTCAGATGTGTCTCTTCTATAATTAACATCATCTCATATATTTTTACAGTCTTTTTGAAGTAAAGGAACCTACCAAAATATAGCTAATGAGAGTGTTAGAACTTAATTATCACAAACTGAATTCATCTCTGCAGTCATCATCCAGGTCTGAAAAAAGAACATTACTACAATCCCAGAAGCATTTCTGTGTTTCTTCTTCTTCCTCAACAGCAGTCATGGAGACTGTCACAATGGCCTACTATTCTAGTTCTGATTTAGAATCCTGAATAGAATTTAAGTGTGTAGCATTTCCTATACATGTTTGTTTATGCATGTTGCTATAATTTGTTACACACAAATTATAGTATATGTAGTACCCAGGGTACTACATGACAGGCCATTTTTCTAGATATCAACATAAAATAGCAATGTTATTATTTTTATATAATAGTAATGTTTAACTTTGAAATATGTCTCAGTTGTTTTATGTTTCTATTTTGTTTGAAACATACATTGTTACTTGAAAAAATTCTAAACTATAAGAATTGAAAATGAGTGAATTAAGATTCTAATAAGATGATTTTTAAGTAAATGCAAATAGAATGAGAAGAAATATGTGAAAAGCCATCTTGGAAAAATGAAAAAAAATTCTGGGAAATGAATATATACTAAGCTATTTAGACAAGTTGATCTCTATGTGTTAAATTTATTTGCTAGAAATTGTGGTAATCGTGGTGGGAAAGGGGAAAGTTTGAATGAAGATTTCCAAACACATTCAGATAGAAGAAATTGTATCTCATGATTGATATTTAAACAGGGTAATTACAATGTACAACATATTCTATATTTCATAATAACTAGAAGAGATGAGTTTGAAGGATCTCAACAAAGAAACAATATTAAAGGAAATAGAGATTTGATTATTAAACATCTGATTTGATTATTATATATTATATTTATATTCTTAGAATTAACTTATTCTAGTCTGTAATAAATACAAATAGCATTTGCTAAACAAAATAAAATAAATTAACATTAAGAATTAAAGTGAGAAGGGGAAAAACAAATCATTTAAATAGGGATACAGGTGGACCCATTGCAACAATAAGTTGTACAAGTCGTTATGTAGAAAATGAACTTTACAACTTTGGTGGGGGGGGGGGGTGGGGAGGATTGGCTGGGGGATGGGGGGAGTATGGGAAGGGCTGGGAAGGGGAAACAAAGGAGGAGGCTACAATGCTTGATAAGAAATGTACTCATTATCTTGCCTATGTAATTGTAACTCCTCTGTACAGTATTTTCACAATAAAAAAAGAAAAAAAAGAATTAAAGTGATAAAAATTTATAGATCCAGTAATAAAAATGAAAACTGGAAATGGGTTTTTAGAATGGTTATCTGTTTTTGTTTGTTTTTTAGTTTTTGTCGGTTGTGGTGCATGCACTATGTTCCTGGGCACTGTCCTTAAGCTCTTCAGCTCAAGGTGATTACTCTACCATTTGAGCCACAGTGCCACTTCCTGGTTATCATTCTTAAAGCCTAAAGGATAAGGACTTAATTGACTGATCCAAAAATATCTTGTAGTTACTCTAAGGTTTTTTTTTTTTTTTTAATATCTTGGGTTTAAAATCTGAGCATCTGGGTCATGAAATTGTAATTATGTATCGTATCATGTATATTGCTTTAAAAAATGGCATGCTTGCTTCCTGTAGTTAGACACATCAGGATCAAGATATCAGGATTTTTTAAAAGGTAAATACAAAAGTTAAAAAAGACTATTTTATTGAGAACTTCTTATATCCTAGAGACTGTTAGATACTTTATATGGATTTTCTTAGTCTGTAGCCCAGTAAATTAAATACTATATTTATCTATTTTACAGATGAGTAATGGGTTGAGAAAATTTAATTCAAAGATATGCTAAGACATATACACCTGGTGCCTGGGATTTGGCATAAAGCATCTACGCTCATCATTACTTTTAAAGATAAATCATTTTGCCTGAGAGGAACTTTTTCAAACACTCTTTACTATTTTGTTAACAGGAACTATTCTCACAAGAGGAAGAAAAAAACCTGGATATTAAAGGGAAGACAAAAGTCAATCTCAAACGGTCCTTTTTTTTTTTTTGACAAACTCATCTATTTAAGAATCTTGAGACATTCTATAACATTGGGAATCAACAAAGAGGTTACAAGAAAGAATCTGGGAACTGCCACGTAACAGTTATTCAAGTGTCTGTTATTCATTGAATTGGGCTTAAAAGGCTCTAACATCCCCATAAACCAACTGCTTTTGTAAAGTTTTGTGCCACAGTACAACATGGAGTCTTTGGCATATCATTATAAACATTTTGTGCCTTTAGACAGCTCTAAACAAGTGGCCACAATGAATTCATTAACACATGAATATGCAGGTGGAAACCTAAATCAACACAATAACCAACCTGTGGAGGAAGTACAATCCCAAAGCAATAACAATATAGCACCTCCAGTAAACTCTAACAAGAAGATCCAAAGCTGCCCAGTATTGCCTTCCCCCAAATCTCGATTATCAGTGTCCCAAGATGTCTATAACAGGATTATTCAACCACAATCATCCCACTCCAAATGTTCAGACAAACCTTCACTGAATATTCACTGGAAAACTTCATTGTGCCCCTCACGGAAAGCCCTGAACTTACCTTTTTCTTATTTCAAATCTCCGGCAACATCTTCATCTAACTTTAATAAGACACCATTATCATTGGAACCCAACCAGAGGGTCCTGAGGTCAAGATTACTCCTCCTGAAACCTGACAATTCATCTTCAATTCCAGATGTTTGGGTATCACCTTCATTGAAGTCCAGTGAAAAAGTCTCAAGTTCATTATCCCCCCTCCAACATGAAGAAACGCCTTCCCTAAACATTATCTGGACATCATCCTCTTTGAGAACCAACCAAAAAGCCTGTAGCTCAACAACACTTCAAACTAAATCTCCAAAAACAACGTCATTGGATTGCCTTTGGAAATCTTTATTGGAGCGAAATCAAAAGTCTTTGCAGTCACCATTACTCAAGAAAAAACTACAAGCAAATAAATGCGTTCAGACATCACCTTCTCTGGAGTTCAATTACATGGGAATGAGCTCCCCATTACCTGAACCCAGACTTCAGAGATTACCTACAGTAAACTCTAATACCCATGTTATGACTTTACCACTGTCTCACTTAACATTAAAGAAATCATCTTTATCAGATTCTATTCACCAGCCTTCGAGTTTTCCACTGTTTGAGTCAAAGTCTCAAACCATTAGGCTTGATGGTAATTTTAAGGCCCTGAAAGCACCAACTTATCACTCCAAGTTGAATACCACTTCACCAAATGACAAATACAGGCCTACACATTTATGGCCATTCCATCCCACACTAAATACATCTGGCCAATCATTATCAAGCATCAAACACTGCATCAGGAGCACAGCTTCTACCTTGGGTTCCAAACTCCAAAGCAAAAGCAGCTTTGATTTTAGGTCAAAGACAAAAGTAAATAAAGAATTTCCCTGGACTTTCAGTTATATATATCCCTGCGTTGTGAAAGGTGGAACTCTGCCCGATGATGTTGTAAACAAAATTATCAATTCTATCTCCAAGACGAGAATCCAGAGAGATATTTGTAGACAGATTCTCTTTCGAAGGATGAGGGGAAGGCCAAATCCCCATCCCGGTCCACGCCTTTCAACAGCGTATACAGTTTGTTTAGCTTGTGCTTCCTGCATAAAATCTCACTGTAACCATCGTATAGGAAGGAAAGATCCTCGGTGTGCAAGGCTGTTTGTTATACCAACACCTGAGATGACTACTGAGGGGAAAGTAGTGGTAAAACTACTTCTTATTCTTTCTCTACCAGAGATTTCATCTTCTCTCCTATTTCCTATGAAGGACAATCAGCTTGACGAAGCTCTGGATAACGACCTTGAAGGAATGGAGAAAATGCCGCAGGTGATCCGCACATCACAATCCGGTATCTGCCAGGAAAAGCTTTCTACCAAGAAGAAAGTTAGTGAACGGTCGCAGGCTACTGAATGGCTGCTTTATGTTAAAAGTACAAATGCTTTACATCTGCCATCCCAGTTCCCAACCCCTTCTTCCTCTTTCTCCTCCTTGTCAGTTTCTTCTGCCTCTTCTTCTTCCTCTTCTTCCTCCTCTTGTTCTGCTTTGCCCATCCCACCCCCTCCTACTGAAAAATCCTGTCACCAATCTATGCCCCCAGATAGAGTATTCACAAAAGTACTAAGTTACCAACATCGACTGCCCCAGGGGGTCTCCTGGCTTGAGTTTATATGTAGTAAAGATTACCAACCACTTGAGGGAAAGCTGCAACAAAGCCAAGTACCATCTCTCCAGTCAAAGTCTGTGCAGAGCTACATCAGTAGAAAAGGCACAAAGGGACCAAGCTTACTGTTCAAATTTTTCCAAAAAAAGTTCAAAATGAGAAATTCTGATTAAATGAACATCCTGTCTTTAAAAAAAAAGCAATGACCTCGTAGTTTTCTGGGACTGGTGTTTGATTTCTTCTCATATTCATTAATATTCTGACACTGAATTTTAGTCATCTATCTAAGAACTATCATGTTTAATTCTATGACTTGAGTAAAAGAGTATAAATCTCTTAGAAGTTAAAACATGAATCCTACATATTTAAGAGAATGCCTGCATAGAATAACCGCTCTATAATTATTGTCCAGTAGTTGGACAGATACCAGAAGTATCTATGTGGCCCTGAACAATACTAGCTTATTGCCTATAGCCTACCACTTGTGGCTTACTCTTGTAATCCTAACTACTCAGGAGGTTGAGGTATGAGGATCATGGTTTGAAGCCAGTCTGGGTAGGAAAGTCTATGGGACTCTCATTTCCAGTTAAACATCGAAGTCAGGAGCAGTGCTGTGATTCAAGTTGGATAGCACACTATCCTTGAGCACAAAAGTTCAGGGCAGGGACCCAGCTCTAAGTTCAAGCTATAGGACTACCACAAAAAAATACAATGAAGACCCAAAAACATATTTTCTCAAGCCAATTTATTCCCACCTGTTTCCCTATTTTTTAAAGAAAATTGAGGTTATATTCAACCACTATACGAAGGGGAAGTTTTCAGTTATATATTTCTAGACAAATGTTACTATTAATATCACATGCTCTGATATCTAATAATCTATTCAATCTGAACTCACAAGTATTAAGAGAAAACTACTTCATGCTTATTGTGCCAACATTTCCTTTATGGGCTCTGAAGTCACCTAATGATTACCTGGATCTATAAAGCCACATTGGTTAATGAATTGTTTTTAAATGGGTTCATTCCACTGAGTCTGGTGGTAAAGGAAAGAAAGCTGCTTCCATGTATATGTCATAAACGATCATCTCTTTTTGCAAGGTCAAGTATAGGCATCTCTTAAACTAATGACTCTCAGTTCTAATTCTGTCTCAAATCATTTCAGTTCCCAGGATGCATATTAAACATTTCAGTTGAAACATTTCTAATTCAACATGACCAAGCCAGAATTAATTACTTTTTACCTGTATAATTTACATCTTATATATTCTATTTCCCTCTGCCTTTCTGGTTACAGTTGGATATATTGTTATTCACCATAAAACCTTTCTGTGATATTTTTCATTGCTTATCTGATTCAAAGGCTATAGATTTTTATGGATTTATTATTGCTAGGAGTCAACTTTTTTCTCCACGTGTCACTTCCTACTTGTTATGAGAGCCACTTGTCAGCTGGGTTATGGAATTAACTTGTAAGCATACACTTACTTTTGACCACATAGCTGAGATACAAAGTTGATAATGTTATTCTATTGCTTACAATCTTTAAATCATTATCCATTGATTCTTGGACAAAATAAAAATGTCTTTTATGATTACATGATTACGGTATGATAATTTCTTAAAATGGACTTTTTATTTTTCTCCATTTTCCCATTATATATTTTAACTACAACTGTGTCTTTGCAATGTGCAGATTATGCCAAGAGTCCTTTGAATCTTACATTTCAACTCAGTAATTCTCTTACCTAGAAAGACATTCCTATTCATGAGATTTTATTCTATGAGTACCTACTTTGTCTTTGCCTTCTTTTCTATCTTTTATTATCCTCAAGTAGCTGTATAAAGAAGTTTCAATTCACGTATCATTTTGGGAGCGGTGACATATTGAGCAATGTCACCATTTTCTACTTCATACTGGCATCTTCTGGAAAGCTTTTTTTTTTTCCTGTGGTGCCTGCGAAATATGAATGGATATTGCTATCATTATAAATCTGTGTTCACTCACTGTGGTTCTCCCAATCATATTATATTACAACCATTTCTTATCTTTTCAACTTGCTAGACTAAAAATTCATTCAGGTGTTATTGGGTTTTATTTTTTCTTTACAACTTCATCCTCAGAATAGACTAAATATATGATGTGCCTAAAATGTGTGTTGGTATTCAGTTAATTCTATTAAAGCTCTTCATTAAGAAAATATTCTCTGAGGCTGGGCACTGGTGGCTCATGCCTCTAATCCTAGCTACGCAATAGGCTAAGATGGGAGGATCCAGTTTGAAGCTAGCCTGGCCAGAAAAATCTGTGAAACTCTTTGACTCATCTCCAATAAACTATGCAGAAAAGGCTGGGAGTAGTGCTGTGGCTCAAGTGGTAGAGCACTAGAAAAGCTCAGGGGCAGTACCCGGGCCCTGAATTCAGGTCCCAAGACTGACAAAAGTAAAAATAAAAATAAAACTCTTCTGAAACAATGTCCAATGATTTTTATTTTTTTATAGTCTTAAAACAGGTTTTTATACATTTTATCTTTGCGGGAACTATAATAACCTTACCGTTGACAGGTTGTCTTATTTCTTAGTTAAAATGTTTCTATCATTTGATTGCAGCATGAACAGCTGATATATAGCTTTTCAAGGAAAAGGAAGAAATGATACATGCAATGATGTGTTCAAAGTCTTCTGTCAGGCTTCAAAGGCCCTTAACATGTGTTTTATTCTTCTCAAACTTCTGATGATATGTATCATTTCTGTTGTTATTGGTCTAACATTTCTTTACAAGATTAAATTTCATGAATGGGAGCCATATGTTGGTCTTGCTATTAACTCCTTTGAACTCCTTTCAACCTAGAATTTAAGCACTGAGTAAATGTTTGTAAAATGAAATTGAGTTCAATTAATTTTTTTACAGCACTGGTATTTGAACTCAGAACCTTGCATTTTCTTAGACCAGGAATCTTCCACTTACACTATTAACCTAGCATTTTTTTGCCTTGATTTTTGGGTCTTGGTATATTTTCCCTAGGCTAAGCTAGATTCATATTTGTATTTTCTGTGTAACTGTGATGACAACCATACTATACCACCCAGTTTTTTATTTGTTGAGATCAGTCTCAAGAACTTTATGCCTATATTGACATTGAACAACTATATTCCTAATCTCAGCCTATTTGAGTATCTAGGATTACAGGTGTAAGTTTTCATAGACGGTTTTGACATTTATCAATAACGTACATTTAACATTCTAATTTGGCTTATTTTAAAAACTATGCTTTATTATAGTACGTTCTCATTTTTTGAAGTATGAATTAGATACTTCTAACTTCTTTATTTTATTGGGAATGGTTTTTTTTTGTTAATTATAACTTTCATAGATTTTGTTTTGGGGGGGCGGTCTGGTCATGGGGCCTGTACTCTGGGCCTGGGCCCTGTCCCTCAGCTCTTCAGCTCAAGGCTAGCGCTCTACCACTTGAGCCACAGCGCTACTTCCGGCTTTTATCTTTTTGCTTATGTGGTGCTGAGGAATGGAACCCAGGGCCTCATGCATGCAAGGTAAGCACTCTACCACTGAGCCACCTTCCCAGCCCCTCATAGCTTTCTTTTCAGAACAATTTAAATTGTTATTATTGTTGTTCCAGCCAATGCTGAGGCTGGAACTCAGGACCTGGATTCTGTTTGTGATTTTATGCTAAAGGCCAATGCTCTACCACTTGAACCACAGCTGCATGCCTGGTTAATTGGACATAACCATGTCATGGGCTGTCCTGCTTGGGCTGGCTTTGAACCAGGATCCTCAGATCTCAGCCTCCTGAGTAGCTAGGATTACAGGCATGAGCCACCGATGCTCATACAGGAAGAAAGGTTATTAGTGACAGAAAGACCAAGACTTTTTGCAAGAATTTATACAGATAAGATAGTATTTAAAGTAGAAGCATTCACAATTTACTATATCTGAAGTTATTTGAAAAGTAACATAAACTGATCAATAATCTCATTACCTATATCAAGTGGCAAAGTACGAAATGAATTCTAATGTAATGTTACTTTTAATCAGTCATACCAGTAAATATGATATAATAAGACACTGACAATCATAACTATTTCAAGGCAGGCACCAAGGGATTATACCTATAATCTTTGCCTCTGGAGAGGCTGAGATTCAGAGTATTGAAGTTCAATACCAACAAGGAAAGAAAAGTTTGCTGGACTCTACATTCCAAACTGCTCAGGATAAAGTAAAACCAGAGTCTGCTTCAAGGAGATAGACTGCAAGTCCTGAAAACACAAGGCCCCATATTCAAACCCTAGTACTGCCAAAGACAAAAAATAATAATATGACTATATAGAATTATTTTTAAAAATTGCTTCCATTTGCCTAAAATAGTGAGCAATTAATAAATAATATGATGGATATTCATTTGTAGATACATCCAAATATGCCATGATTGTGATGTTTTCCCAACTGAAAATAGCACATACATTTTAGAAATGATGTAATCAACTGTAGGAAAATACCTTCAGAAATGTCTTAGTTATGAACAGAGACTCAGCATGAGTTGGAAGATGAGATTAAAACAGAAAGGAGATGGCTAAACACTATATGTAATTTCAACAAGAAACTTTTTGATAAAAGCAAAAGAAAAGGAGTATATCAGCATGTCATCTGTGATCTAAGTGAAAAATATCAGACAATTCTACTCTGCAAAATACAGACATTATTTGTGTATGTTTGTGTAAAACCTGTTTCCTACACATGAGAATGGTTGAACAATTGGAAGTAAACCCTGGAGTTATACAAAAGAGATTATATAGAAGAATAGTAATGATAAGGTATTTTTTTTGGGAGGAGGTCCATCGTGGGGCCTGAACTCTGGGCCTGGGCGCTGTCCCTCAGCTCTTCAGCTCAAGGCTAGCACTCTACCACTTGAGTCACAAAGCCACTTCTGGCTTTTTTTTTTTTTTTTTGCTTATGTGGTGCTGCGGAATCGAACCCAGGGCCTTAGGCATGCAAGGCAAGCGCTCTACCACTGAGCCACTTTCCCTGACCCTGAAAAGGTATTTTTTAAGTATATATTTTTAGAGGACATGAACTAGATTTAAATTCTTTAAATGTATTAAATGGTATTACAGATATACACCATACTTAGTCTTTTTAATATGTTTTTTATTGTAAAAA